ATTGAAACAACGGTGTACGGAACATATCACGAAAAGACTGATTAATTCATTGCATGTGGGTTTTTTTTTTTTAAATGTACGCTGTAGATTTTTCAACAACAAATTTTTTCGGGGAAGATTGACACCGTACATCCCAAGTGGAAAATTAATTTGAAAATAATTTGTATCGAAAGAAAAGACTAAATATTGTTTCATTCATTGTCGCATAATATACCAATGATGAATCTTTATAATCATTAGCATCGGAGTCTGTCTCCGTTGCTTCGTCATTGCTTGATCAGCAAAAAAAGAAGCCCAGAAATAAAATTTAAATCCGAGACATTTTCAGATACAGATAATTTTCCAAACGAAGCTTACTCGAGATAAAGCAGAGCCCTTCTTATATTCTGGAAAAAATAATTTTTTGCAGTTTTTTGAGGGTCTTTTTCAAAGGAGGAGGGCTGATTTTTTCTGCGAAACACGCAAGTGCACGAAATTTGCATTTTATCTGAGTTTTGTTGTGCGTGTCACCAGACTCACCACTGCACCGTTTCATCGAAGACTGCCGAATCCTATCGTTTGGTGATTATTATTTTTTAAATATATGCTTACACCATATTTTTAGCACATGATCGCTCAAACACAAGGACATGGTCGACTCACTGAACCGCCGTCCAGAGCCACGATGTGGAGATATGGCTGGGATAATCCCGTAGATTACGACGATGCTCAATCCTTCTGTGGTGGTTTCCAAGTCAGTATAATGACGGCTTTTTAATTTATTCAAACCTTCTTCATTCTGAGCGAATAGCTATTAAACGTTCAAAATGTCAAGTAAGCGTTGATATGTGCATCTGGATTTTTTTTTAATCGAATCCAATGCCAGGTTTTCAAGAAAAATGCTGTACTTCATTATTTGCTATATAACGGCACAGTAGTCAAATCTTGAGTTAAGCAAACTGCTGCAAACATGCAGCGGAATAAAAAATAAGACCTTGATTCAGTTCGTTACTGTATACTTGACAATACAGGCAAAGCATTGAAATCATGTCTGTATTCATCAAATCTTGAATGCCCACAGTTGCAAACCCATTCATTACTAAATTTCAATCGAATCAAACTTAATTTTTTTGCCGTTTATTGCGGCCAGTTTTGGGCTGCTTGAATAGATCAGAGAGCATTTTGGCTCGTAAATCTGGATTGCATTTTATTTTCACAGCATTTATATAGTGAATTCCAAAAGGCAAACTTATATTTTGCTTTGAATAAAAAAATTGACTTGAAATTATTAGTGAAACCTCTACTAAGTCAAACTTCAAGGGACCAGCAGCAAGATTTGACTTAGGTAGGTTTTGAATTGAGCTAAAATACAAAGCGCTTTTCTCCTGGGAAACATAGAAAAATTGCTCAAAGTTGTAAATTGTGATACGGTTTTCTGAGGCTGAAATTACTCCTTAAATGCATGAGTTGAAAGCATCCTGAACTTGGAGGCAGGGTTCATTTGCCCAATTAAGTCTCTCACCTCCTTTTAAAACAAATCAATTTATGTTTTTATTGCTTTTTTCTTTCTTGTATCAAGAAAATAAAACCCAAATGGGCCACAGAAAATTCAATTTATGGAGTTTCGAGGTGAAAAGCCTTCAACTTAGAGAGGTTTTAAATGCATTTATTCTAAGGGGATTCAGACAGGACCTTAAAAAATTTGACTTATGGGGGTACAGTATTTGACTTAGGGAGGTTTGAGTCATTGAGGTTCAACTGAAATTGCATTACAATTGCTTTTTGCAGGCATAGAGAAACTATAACCCTTGGTTCCAAAAATTTATCCAGTTCCTGCAAAGTTAGAGCGAAATTGAAGTGAAGTATAGTGGATGTGATGAAAGCTTTATGATCAGAAACCTTTCGTATATTATTATTTTAGCAAAGGAAGATTACCGTAGTCTACAGCATAGCCTTATTTCCATTCGATGGAAACATGAACTCTTCGGATCTATGAATAAAAAAAATTACGAAGCATTCGAAAAATGACTTCATCATCAGGTTCAATGGAACCAAAATGAAGGAAGGTGCGGGATTTGCGGAGACGCTTTCAATGAGTCGACGCCACGAACCCACGAAGTCAATGGAATTTACGCAAATGGCATTATTGTCGATAGTTACACTGTGGGAGCCATAGTGAATGTTCAAGTGGAAATCACTGTCAATCACAAGGGTTATTTCCAGTTCCGAATGTGTTCTTACGCGGAAGACGGAGAAGACGTTGAAGTTAGTCAAGAATGTCTGGACAGGTGAGACCTGTATTATTAGAGGCTTCTCCCTTTTTTCAAATTTGCTCAGTCTATTTTTTGGAGTTCGAAAATTTGCTTCATTTTCGTAAAAAATTATTTTCGTATGAAATAGTAATATACGCAAAAAATAATAGTGGGGGCCCCGAAATACGGACGTAATTTGCTGGTGCTTGGACCTCGTCCTGTAGTCAGAAGGTCTGCATGTTGTGTTTTCCTTTAGACACCGAATGGAGATTAAGTTTTAATTGGTAAATTTTCTGTTCATTAAAAATCGAGAAAAATTTGGCAAAATATTTAAAAAAATGTTTACTCATGTCAAGTATGAAAAAAAAGTACTTGTGCAGGAGAAAACCACACAGAATCTGATTTTTTGGCATGAAAGGGAGCTGAAGAAAAAATGAGCAAGAGCACATCTTGTTATACTTTGCACAGACAATGAGAATAAAACAAAAAAAGTATCAAATTATCCTGTTTTTTAATACCGCGAATTTGAGTGAAGTTATCATGATGTTCATTTCAAAATGTTCGTGAGCATGAAAAAAAATTAGTTTGTTCAAGAGAAATCCCCATTATGAAAAATTCAATTTTTCTCGAAATGTTAGGAAAGTGTCCATATCTCAAAATATTTTCCGGATGTTAGGGCAGATTTTTGAGCTTAAATCGCCCGTAAGTCGCAGCATATGAACTCGGAGTGTACGCATGTCGGGGCCCATTATTTTATTCTTCTTTTTACTCATTTTCACTGGCAAGTGAACGGCCTGTGATTACTTGGCNTTTTTTTTTCTCTGTCGCATTTTTTTCATTTGCGTCACTGAACATTCCTCTCAAGTTTTTGCTTGGTCACCGTGGGTTCTTGCTGAAGTCACGGCGAAACAAAAGGGGATTGTTTCAGTTCCGTCGGGATCCCGATGACGTTTGTTTCGATGAGGTTTTCGCATAAAAACCCAGGGTTCGGATTCAGAGTAGATTCAGTCGACATTCATTTGCAGACTCTCAAACACACGCGTTTGGAAGATTTAAAAGAAATTCTTGAACACTCAGAGCTCAAAGATATTAAGATTATTTCACCTTTAAGATTTTTTACGTTTAACTCATGCAATATAGCATTTTGAGATTAACATGGTGAAAATAATTACTCAGTGTTGAAGGAATTTTGAAATTAATTTCAAACATTTTTTTCCTAATCGATTGATATCATCTGAAAAAGGGGATTTTTGCTGCATTCTCAAAAGCTAAGAAAAAATGTGTTGTGAAGTGTACACGAATGTTTGCACATACAGCTGGACCTTGCTAAGTCAAAAAGCTCCCCAAAATGCCAAATATTTGTTTTGTTCCTCTATATGAATTTCCTCACAACTGCTGTAATATAAACCGTAACTCTTCCAATACATTTTCTTTGGAAACCTCCAAAAGTAAAATTTTGAGAAGCCACTATGCTATTGTATTCTAGGAAAAGTGAAGAGCGATACAATTGGAACTTCACGCTTTTCGAAAATAAGTCAATGACTAATCGAGCAAATGTACCTTCACATATTTAAGTTCAGTTTTCTGACAAATCAATTACAGTATTCAGCAGTTTGAAGCACAGAATATCACCAATCTTATCTTACAGTGATTTTCCCCCCTTACACTCCCTCAGTAAAAATTCTTGTTTTATAACTCAAAAACTTTGCAACTCAAATATTTACAGGGGTCCCTCTGAGTTCAACCCACGCAGGTTTGACTGCTGCAGTAAATTCTAGAACTTGATTGCGTGTTTCAAAGTAATGATTTCTATCCATGTTTGTTTTACTCTTGAGTCGTGAAAGAGCAAAACAAAATTCGTGAAATTTCCCGTTACAGTTATTTCAACGGACTTACATTTCAGTAATTTCCGTACCCCGCCCTAGAAGAATACGAGGTTTAAACTCAAATAAACCCCCCAAGTTGAATAGGCGTGTGCTTGTGGGTTCCTCTGAATTCAACCCAAACATGGGTTTGAAGATAGTACAGTGAGACCCTGAGATGCGGACGTAATTGGTGCATCATGAGTGTCCCTAAGTTGAAATGTCCCTTAGTTTAGTCTCTGATACTGTTACCTTAGACTTACATTATACAATTTTTAATTGGTGTTTTATGGAACAAATACTCACCCTAATTCCATGAAAATAAAAATTGTCTCCCAATTTAAACTGATTCAATCAATATATTTT